ACAAATGCTTAACAACTGAAGATTTCAAGAAATCTTTTAAAAAATCACTGGAAATCTTTCTAATGCTACGGCGCACGATAACTTAATAATTTTCTACGCCCTAAAGAAAGAAATTAAAAGTGTTTGTTTAGAAGTGCATGCAGTGTCAAACCGTTAATCGGGCAACTTCTTGAAAATACTGTTCGCTATACACCCAAGCAAGCGTGTAGTAAGACATACATCATCTTTCCTGCCGTTAAAACCGACTCCAAAAATACGGTGCTTTAAGCATGTAAGTAACAAAAACTAATGGGAGATTACAGGTTTAGAAATCTAAATGGAATATCTGTAGCGGAAACCTCCTACTACCAATCTAGTAAATCCATGATACACTAAGGAAATACGTTCATTTACCAGTTGTTTACTAACAACTTTTTCTATGTGCCAGAAATAAGCCTTGTCCCAAAGAGAATTATGAATAAAAGACTTTATGCAAGACGCCGGCAACTGAGAAGACAGTGAGGAGTGCGTGACATACAATAACCGCAACACAAATAGGAAGCACAAGAGCTAGAGAAAAGTTAACAAAGAGGAAATTTCTTATGATTTACAACTAGAAAATACGTCAATAAAGTTGTAGTAAATCAACAACGCTTATCAAAAAACTAAATAATTTAGTCGCTCTCGACCTTTACGAAACTGTGTCGTCCCAATACTGCATTATTTAAACGAAACCAGGATTCTGCAAGCCTGAATCAAAAATGTCAAAGATAACTCCAACTGTAGGGCGCGCTCTAACTGCCGCATTTAAAGAATTTTTAAAACACTTCCGATGCCTAATTTCGTCCCCCAAATTTCTTGCCGTGATATTTTTGTCAAGAACTAAAGCTGTAACACTTTAAGTAGAAAAAATAAAAGGGCCATATATTGCATCATACGAAGCCCTAAAACCTAAAAGCAGAAAAAGTGGCATCGTCGAATTCAAACTACCCCCAACGAAACAGTTACGACGCAGAGAAAATCAATAATGTTTCAATACAGATTTTTACAAGATAATCACTGTAAGATTTTTCCCAAAAAGAAGAAACAGGAAATTCTGTGCTGTGTATTTTCCCAACTTCTATGGGTAAAGAAAAATAAGAATTTGAATTTTTATCAGCCGGAAAGTCTGTATGCCCTATAACGGAACAAGAAACTTATTTTATTTTGCAGTTAAACCTACAAATGGTAAATTTGACTAATCATACAAAGACCAGACAAGTGAATTTCAGATACCCGATTAAAAACTGACTAAACAAAATATCATATGTTACAAGTGAATACCATTGTGAGAAATTCTTCGTAACCAATCGTTATAATTCCATCTCGATCCAAGTCTTTATCTCTGAATGAAGCTGTTAATGTTTGTAGCACAACACACAACTGGATAAAGTCATCAAAATTGACCCTATGCGTGTGAGAACGGTCAAACTTTAGCATGAGTAAATCAACAAAGGTTGAACTTAACGTGTAACCTGCAATCGCACGATCAGTCCTTTGAAAATCAGGAGGGAACAGTGTGGTAACGAATGCGAAACAGTGAAAATTCTTGCAGTTTGAATATAAAAATTACGC